CGTTTAGCACCCCCCTTTTTTCTGCTGTTAGCTCTTACTTTGAACTCAAAAACTCTGTTGACGGATCCCTCGTGTCTTCTAGAATGTTCCGGGAGCATTCCCACAGCTGAGTTCACAGGTTTCCTGAGACCCAGTTTGGGGAGTTTGGGGAACAGTTTTGGCTTTGTGTTTGTTTAAAAAAATTTTTTTTCATATGTGTGTGAAAATTTACGTTAAGAAGCTTTCAGGTTTGTTTGTTTTTTTTTGTAAGACAAAGTGAGGGAAAATGAATGCTGTGAGTGCTCACTCAATAAGTGTGTTTTATCAAGATGAGCAAGGAAGTCAACACATTTTTAAGAGGTTTATAGGAAGAGAGTGGGGTTTTGACTTGAAAATGAAGAGAATGTACATTTCTTTAAATCACTTAAAGCAGTTAGTGGGTTAGCACAGAGTGTGGTGCTGATAAAATCAATTACAGAGATTTTCCTGCTACCCAACTTGGAGTTAACTGCAGAAAATATGTTTACATTATTCACCACTTTTCCTTAAAATGCTCTGTCGTTTTGCTTTCTTGATCTGCATTTCTGGTTTGTCAGCAAAGTTTTTCACTTAAACAAGTTACTGTCTTATATTTTTAAGCCCAAATCAACTACTGTAAAAACAAAAACCCACAAAGAAAGTTTTACAGAAAGGATTTAGTTTGAGGGAGAATTTAGGAGGTTGAAGGAAAGGAGGGAGTGGAAGCCCCTTGTTTACATTTCAGACGTAAATCTGATAGTTCTAAAGTTGGTCACAGTGTTACTGTCTTGTAACATTTTTTTCCAAACTGGAAAAATGAATGAGATATTTGAGTCAGTTTTGCCTTTCAATATTAGAAAATATTGAGTGTTTTGAAATTTGTTTCCTAATACATGCATTTTCAATAAAAGTTCTGAAGTTTGTGGAAATTAGAACACTATATTTTGTGCATTTCCTAGATTTAACTTGATTTCCCTTCCTAGGCAATATTATGGTATTTATAACTGAGCAACATTTTTTGATGCTGATGGCTTGTGAAATTAAAAGTCAGCTGACAGAAAACTGGGCCAAGTCTTAGTAATTTTCTGTAAAGTGGCGTAATAGTTGCCAAGTCTTTTCATGGTAGTGATTAAACTTTTTTATTTTTGTATCACTAAAATTTGAAGGGGCTGATTTAAAGCATAAGATCAATTTGGGTAATATGCCACAGCAAAAAGTGTTTCTTTTGAAATCTGTTTTGCATTGCATTTTGGGGAAATAAAGCCAAAGCCAATATTACATCAATTTTAATTAAAACAGTTATCAGTAGTATTTCAAGTCAATGAGTTTGTATTTAAAGTAGGTTGATGGGAAGAGTGGATAAAAATATAAATTATATCGTCTAGTTATTAATCAAAGAGGGAGATATTACTTCAATGGGTAATTGAGAGGTAAAATAACAAGCAAATTAAATTTCTCTGTGACCACTATAAATATGGTTGTTGTTTTAAGCATTACTGATGTCAGAATTCAGTGATAAAGAATATTATTGACGTAGATTACCTAGTCTTAAAAAGCACCCAACGAAATAAAAAGTTACTTTAATGTTGATCTCGGGAAATGTTGCATATTGTAAAAGTGTAGTTTAGAATTAAGATTGAATCATGGTATATTTATTGTTTCAGTTCTGAGGTTCTTGCATCTATAGAAAATATTATCCAAGACGTAATCACAAGCTTGGCAAGAAATGAAGCACCTGCATTCACAATAGACAACAGATCAAGCTGGGAAAATATAAAGTGGGCATTTTGCGTGTTTTTTTTTTAATGAAGTATCTGTGTCATTATTTAAATTTATTTGAGTTAGAGTTCTAGTTGGATTTCATTCTTTTTATTGCCTTTACTCTGCTAAAAAGGATTTAAGGCCGTTTACAAAATACATACCATACAGGCAGGTTATATAAACTAGAAGTAGGTGTGAAAGATAAGGCAAAGGGAAAACAATGCTAGGAACAAAAAATGGAGCACCAAAAGAGGTTAGAATTCAAAATGCATATGATAAAGTCCTGCTAAAAATAGGCTCCAGGCTTGGATCTAAGCTTTCAAGCACTCAGAGCAGAATATCACCAGTGGAATTCTCATCTACACTGCAAAAGCAAACCACTTGCTCAGGGGAGCTACAACCAATGCTAATATTGAGACCAAAATAAACGTACCTTGAACATAGAGCACATTTCAGTGGCTATTTCTCCTAACAAGATCTCCCCCTGAGAAGTCACGTGTCCAAGAGGGTAAAATCAGCAAACAGCTTTATCAAAGTCCTAGAACCTAGGTATATAGTTTGTTTCTTTCAGATCCTCAACCTATAGGCACCTTCCACTAAATAATAAAAAACATTATAAGAACAGTCCTCCATAAGAGTTATAGAAATATAATTTAAGTAATTTTGAGGCTCCTTAGTGACTAAGTATTCTTTTATAATAAATATAATTAATATAGCTATAAACTTTTGAATCATGTTTTGCAAGATGGGTTTCACTAAGCCTTGAGACAAGCTGTCAACCTGGCCTGTTTGCCTGGTGCCTTCTGCCACCTTTAGGACAGGCTTGGCAGTTCAGTTTAACAACCTAGAATAATTGTTTCATTCAATGTAATTTTTAGACGTGAATTAAATAAAATGTTCTAAAACTTATTAAATTGAGTAAAATAATTAAATAAATAAAGTGAGCAAAATGCTTACTGTGAACTATTTGAAAATAGTTCACATACCATAAATGTCCTCCCAGGAAAGAAATACACACACACACACACACACTCACACATCATAATCAAAGGTATTTAATTGATTTATTTTAAACGCTTTCTTTTAGTGCTCCTGTATATTGCAAAGCAAATTACCTAATTATCACCTGGAATTATCTAAGTTTATAAACAAGGTTATCCTAAAACTTCAGTGCTTACATGGAGAAGAAATGTGGATTTAAACAATGTTCAGAAGGGGACATTAAGTGTATACTGTTTGATGTTCAGAAGTCAATTCTTTTTATTTTATTCCTTTGTTTTAAACAAAATAACAGGTTTGAAGATTCTGTGGGTCTTCACATGATATCTCATTGTACCACAAGAAAAATCAAGAGCGATTCACCAAAATCAGTTAAGAATTTTGGTAAATTAATCTTTCTTAGCTTTTTGTAGTAAAATAAATAAATTTTACCTTCTGGGTTTTAGTTGCTCCTAGCTAAATAATTTTACTTATTCTTTAATAGACCACCTTGTATTTAAACTTACAGATTTTTGCATTGTCAATAAACATGGTAGTAAATTATTACTCCAAAATACATTTTCAAGGTACATGATTCAGTGGCAAAGTATTCTTTCAATTTTGCTGTACATAGAGCATTTAATTTTATCTGATTCTTCAGGCAATTATTATTTCAGTACTTAATACTTCTATTTTGGAAAGATAATTTTTGTAATGTTATGGAAAGTAACTGGGAACAGTTAAAATCCTTGATAGCAGTATGTTTTGAATTAGTAAGAGAAATGAGTAACTTGTTTGTTGCATCTTATTTTCCAGCACTAATTCTTAAAATACTGTCCACGATTTATAAATTAGTACAGAGCAACACTTATGCAACCAAAAGGTAAGTACATTGTTCTAATAAATTATGCTTTAAAATACAGTGTGAGATTTATTGGGGTTAACTTTCATTATATGTTTTGAAAAGTTACATAAAACTAGACTTTGGAAAATGAGTTACTTTGTTTGTATGTTGTTGTCATCCAGTTAAAGCTTTCTTCAATTAATACTCCAATACTTGTCATATTCAAAGAGAATATGTCTAATTAAAATTTTTATTTTTAAAATTTTCGTAGAGACATATATTACACTGACAGCCAACTCTTTGGTAACCAGACTGTTGTGGACAATATTATCAATGATATTTCCTGTATGTTAAAAGTGCCGAGGAGGAGTCTACATATAGTAAGTACCATTTAATACAAAACATTTTAAGACAAAATGTTTGTATTAAAAAAATTGTAAGAAGTGGGGAAAATACAGCTCAAATGCTAGAGCACATGCTTAGCATGCACAGGGTCCTGAGTTCAATCCCCAGTACTTCCTCTAAAAATAAATAAACAAATAAACCTAATTATCTCCCCCCTCAAAAAATAAATTAAATAAATAAATAAATGGGTTTTTTAATTGTAAGAAAAATAAATGTAATCTGTGCCTTCTTTTCACATTTGTGACACTATATTTTTCTCACTATGAATTTAAATAACCTGTTCTCAATGTAATCCCTTGGATAAATGACTCAAAACAGATGAATTATCAAATATTTTTCATTCCTAAATACACTTACATATTTTCTCCTTCATTTCTTAAATTCCAAACTAAACTAAAATGTACATAATTCAGCAGATGAACATGAGAAAAATGTTTCAGATATGTCTATCATTTTTTCAGCTATCTACATCAAAAGGTTTAATTGCTGGCAATTTAAGGTATATCGAAGAAGATGGCACCAAGGTGAATTGTACCTGTGCAACAGTAAGCATCATGAGTGCTTTCACATGCTTTAACTCCATTTCAGATCCTTTGTTTTTGAAATGCATTTTATTTATTGCTTTGCTGTGCAATTTGGAGCTTAAGATTTTAAAATAAAAACTGTCTTGTTTTGTTAACAAAGGATGACTAGGTATGTGCTTTATGAGGTTGTACATTGCATAGTTTCAGAATATGCCAATTGTGAAATGTCATGTTGAGATGAATATATACATTCCTTCTTAAAATGTACTGTTGTTTTCAGGGAGAGTATGGCTTGACCATGTCAGCGTGGTTATTATGTAATCCGCATATAGTCTTCTGGTTCTGATATTAATATGTTTAATACTAAACTGTTTGCTAGGCTTTGGTGTGTAAAAGCCCACAGTAGCAAACTAGCACAGCAGTTGGGAAAGGACGAGGAGGCTGCCTAAGAGATCGTGCATAAGACAGTCTTTCCTTCACCAGTCTCTGCTTTTTAAGCTACATATCTTTGAAGTTTCCAAGAAGTTCTCACCTGCTGGGAAGTAGTTAGGGTCGTGTGTCTGTTTTCCTACTGAAGAGTAAATCTGTGTCCTGCTCTTTCCTAACTAAAGCATAGACCTCTGATAACAGGTATATTTTTTAAAATGAAAGTATGAGATTTTTGTGATAAATTTTAAAATGTAGCTACACTTTTTAAAAAAATAAAAACTGTCTTGTTTTGTTAACTTAGGCTGTTCCTGTGTCATCTAATATTCAAGGAATTCGAAGTATCCTTTGAGTGGGAAAGCTATTTAAACTTCTATAATGTTCATTCATTCGTTACTTTGATAAATCAAGCCATCATAATGTATACCCAACAAGCGAAACCTTATAGTGGACAAGATGCATACATCGAGGTCCTTTTTTTAGGATTCTTTTAGGAGCTCACCACCTAGTAGGAGAGATAGGTATCTAAAATACTGTGCATGAATAGAAATCTCTTTACCTTCATATATTTGAAGGTAAAAATGAAAATACTATATCTATAGTTGCTTTTGAATTGATTTGTATGGTACCATTACTTAGTTGGTGGTTAAAGTGAAATACTCTTGCCATAAATTTATCAGCCTTAACTTCACAGATTTAATTACAGATGCAAAATTTCTATTAATTGTAGAAAAAGACGCAACATTTCAGCGACTCCTAGATGACAATTTTTGCAACAAAATGTCTCCGTGCATCATGGTTACGGTATATTATCTACCTTTACCACAATTCCAAGACTAATACAGTACTTTGGTGGTTGATAAGAGGGGTTTATAACATCATTTATAAGCTTGGACAGCATTCTGTCATCAACATGGTGCATCCATTGGGATTATAGAACAAAAATTTCCAGAGTGTTTATTTAAACATTCTCAAATCTGACTGAAATCAAGGTGATGGTCCTGGTTCCTAACCACCAGCGATTTTCTAATACCGTGGTGAGTTTACACAGGCTCTCGGTGTCACCCTCACACCATTCCCACAGGGGCTACTCGTCGTGACCACAATATGGTAACGAGGGCTTTGGGCAGGATTGAATGAACCAGAGTTGCTCCTTGTTCTTCCCCATACAGGTTTGTAAAGCAGGTATTTTTTTTTAACATAAGTGCTCAAAGAATACAGAAGTGTATGTTGAGATACACAGAGAACTACAGGCATCAGATAGCAAAGGGTGAGCTTCATGCTGCAGTAATGTGAGAGGAGTTCATAAAACTGGGGTGACCGATGACATCTGCTGGACTGGGAAAGAAAGAGCTGAGAATAAAGGAAGCTTGGGGTGTGGGTCAGTGGAGTGATGACAGTAACAGAATGCACCAGGTTCCCTTCCCCCATCCTGGCCTTCTTCCACTTTTATAGATCAGTATAAAAACCTAGTTCTTTGAAGGAAAAAAAAGCTCATCGACTTACAATTCTTCTGGCTTACTAGATTAACAATAAGTATGATGCACAAAAATAAAAATGGCTTAAAGACGTAAATATAAGATACGACATCATAAAACTCCTGGAAGAGACTATAGGCAAAACATTCTCTGACATAAATGGTATCAATGTTTTCTTTTATTTTTTCCTGTTTTTTAATTGAAGTATAGTCAGTTTACAATGTGTCAGTTTCTGGTGTACCGCACAATGAATATGCATATATTCGTTTTGATATTCTTTTTCACCATAAGCTACTGCAAGATATCAAATATAGTTCCCTGTGCTATACAGTATAAACTTGTTTATCTATTTCATATATACCAGTCAGTATCTGCAAATCTTGAACTCCCAATTTATCCCTTCCCACCCCCTTCCCCCTGGTAACCATAAGTTTGTTTTCTATGTCTGTGAGTCTGTTTCTGTTTTATAAGTAAGTTCATTGTCTTTTCCCAGTGTTTTCTTGGGACAGTCTCCCAAAGCAATAGAAGCAAAAGCAAAAATAAACAAATGGGACCTAATCAAACTTTTTTGCACAGCGAAGGAAACCATAAACAAAACAAAAAGACAATCTATGGACTGGGAGAAAATATTGGCAAATGAAGCAGCCGACAAGGGCTTAATTTCCAAAATATACAAACAGCTCATATAACTCAATAACAAAAACCAAACAATCCAATCAAAAAATGAGAAGACTCAAATAGACATTTCTCCAGAGAAGACATACAGATGGCCAACTGGCACATGTGCTGTGCTGCCTCTCCATGTCCCTGCTGTTAGATATTTTGGCCATTTACAGTAGTTTTTGTCATTTTAAATAACACTGCAGTGGACAGCTTTATGCATGTCAGATTTTTGTTATTTCTATTTCTGCTGAAATACTTCCTTAGGATTATTTCCTAGGACTAGGCTAATTAAGTCAAAGTTATGGAGCTATGTAGGCTTTTTACCCTGTTGTATATATTGTACATTTTTTCACAGCCAACATCAGTCTTCTACCACCTGAAACTTAAGGTGAGGGGGTCTCACTTTTAAGTTATTAATAAAATAAGGATAGGAGTTTATCAGTTTCATTCTACTGAAGTTAAAATACATGATTTCAATCTTGCTTTTAGGGAAAGGGAGTACCCGATCTGAATACAAGACTTCTAGTCAAGAAGCTGTGGGACACGTTTCACATTCCTGTTTTCAGTCTTGTAGATGCTGATCCACATGGTAATTTATTGTTGGACTATTTGAAACAATAGTCATAATTAAATCAAATTTGTAGCACTTTTCTGCTCATAGAATACTTTCATAAAGTGTTTGAAAAGAATGTGATTATTAGATTAAAATTAATGATTGTAATCATTTGAGGCAATCTGTTGTTTTTTTGCCATGCTAACCTGAATCATACATTTTTCATTGCTAATGTCCACAAAAATAAAAATTGCACTTGTTAGATATAATTATCTAACCTGTAATATTCAAGAGAACTAATTTTAAAGTTAACTTTCTTTTAACAGGCATAGAAATTATGTGCATCTATAAGTACGGGTCTATGGTAAGTAAAGAAAAATATTTTGTCCTTCTCACTATTGAGATATTTTATATTTATTGGAGTGATTTCTTATCACTTATCAGCCCCTAGTACACTGAAGGCCCCCAAAATGTATCAGGGAAGCTACTGTCCTAGCCTAGGGTCACTCTGTTTTGGAGGCTGTGATTCCAGCTTCCAGCATGACCAATGTGACTGCAGTTGACAGAGTGAGATTATCTGTGGGCAAAAGGCATTAATTATCCTCCACTCTCCTGGCCTGCTGAAGTAACTGTGGGCCCTCAGCATAATAACATTGTCTGATCACCAGGTATACCCTGAAAATTATATATAGCCTTGAATTCTGACTTTACGAATTCCAACCATAAGGAGAAATGAAAAGACTGCCAAATTTCATCACCAAAGACTGTAACTACCATACATCAGTGGTTCTCAAAATGTGGTCCCGGATCTGCAGCATCAGCACCACCTGGGAACTTGTTAGAAAAGCAAAACTCAATCCCCATCAAGACCTCCTGAGCCTTCTAAGGGGGGGGGGGGGCCCTCCAAGGGATTCTGATGCATGATAAAAGTTGGGGAACCACTTTGTCCCTGATGTATATGTTTAGGGCAGATGAAAAGGATGGTGGAGCAAAGTGTTAAGGTATGGAATCACAACAACAAATGCAGGTCAGAGAGGTTCCTTTGTAGTTTTACTTTACAGGAAATAATACAGAAATACTACAGAGCAGTTTTACAACCTTCACTGAAAGTCCAGTTTAGCTAAGCTCCTGGTGACTTTGTTGCTTTTGTGGGCTCTGGGGGTTTGAAGTCTTTCGTACTAGTCCTTTTCAGTAAGTTTAAGAATTGCTTTAAAGACAGGTATGCTAGTTCTCTGCCTTGGCTAAAGTACTTCTGCTCTTTCTTTTAGGCTATGTCTTTTGAAGCCCATAATCTCACGGTTCCAGCTATTAGATGGCTTGGTCTCCTGCCGTCTGATATCAAAAGGTTAGACAGTTGGCAGAACTAGGCTATTTTACATGATAACTCATTGTGATATGTAACAATCACCTCAAAAGTCATGACCAGGGAAAGCTCTTAACGTTTTTTACTTATATTGTTCACAATGACTCAGGATTATATAATTATGAATTAAATTTAATCAATACTTCTCTTTCAGTGAGTAAAAGACTTAAATGTATTTGGCTAATTGAACTTTCGGCTAAGCTAGAAGACATTTTTTGTTTTACCTTTATGGTCAAATTATTTAGTAATTTTTTTAGTACTTAGTATCAAGACATTGAAATAGTAATCATTGACAACATCATTTGTCATATGAATCAATTTTATCATAGATTTAATTTTTTTATTTCATTAAAAATCTCATTTTAAGATTACTTCAAATTGGGGAACCTAAACTTTGTCAATGTTAATGTATATATGTTCATTATAGAAAAAAACATCATTAAGTAACAAAAGTCATCTACATATGAACAGCTTTACCCGTATAGATTATTTGCTGCACATTGCCGTAACTTTTTCCAAAAGAATGGGATCATACTTTTTGTAACCTGCTTTTCTTACACAACACAATGCTATTGATTTTCCTTTTTAATAAACACATTCTCATGACCTCATTTGAATGTCTTCTACTACTGAGTTCCAATTCTGAATGTGTTTATTCAGTCAATCCCTCCTTGTTGGACATTTGGGTAGTTTCCAAATTTCTGTTCTGATAATGCTTTGTCTGACCCTCTTGTAACTAAATCTTTGCCTGCATCTTTAATTAGTCCCATAGGCTGAATTCCCAGAATTGCTGGGTCAAAGGGTATGCACATTTTTAAGGCTTTGACTGCCCTCTGGGTAGGTTAATTATTTTGTTTTCCCTGGAGAGTAAAAGCCCACCTGTCCCTCAGCATAGGACGTTATCACTTTATCATCTCTGCTAATGTGATATTTTAAAATATTTTATTGTTTTAATTGGCCAGTGAAAATTAAACATACTTACTGGATTTAAGCAGTGAGCAAACCTTGGTGACAGGTGCTCATTTTCTAAATATGGGACACGAACAGGTTTGGGGTAATCTCTGCTTCTTACAAAATGAAGACACAAAGAAAACATTCAATTTTTGATTTTTGAATATTTACACTTTAGTGACTCAAACTTTTGTTCAATTTAGCATATGTGTCATGGTCGGAATCCCTTAGGGGTGATCTCTTTGTAGGAAGATCGTTTCTAACAAAAATTTAGAACAGGATTTTATTAAGGTAGAGAACTGGAAGAAACTCTAGCTGTATCTCATAAATTCCATCAGTGCCCTCAAAAGCCACTCTAAATAAGGGTACAGTCAAAGAAGAAACAGTGGGATGGCTACACAAACATGGCCTTGAGGTAAATCCTTTAGTCCTCCCTTTCCATCAAATTGTCACCCTATCCAGGAGCTGCCACTGGCAAACGGTCATAATTATGGGGAAATTGAAAAAGACTATTTGAAACTGGAGCTCTCCTAGGAAATCCGGGATTTGTGACTTCAAAAAGCTGTCCACAGCATAAATCCTGGACCTCTCATGCTCTATTTTTAAAACACATACCAAGATAAAATTACAATCTACTTTTTAAAAATTTAAAACTAGACAGATGTGTGTATGTGTGTGAGCACGCATGAGTGCCTAAGTGAAAAGTGATTGACTAATTTCCTTGGCCTAGAAAATTCTCAATGAATTACAGAGAATTGAGTATTTAGTGGAACCTAAAATCCCACAGTGAATCTCTCTGCTGGCCACACACACAGGTGCTCACCACTTCAAGCCTGCAGGGCTCTGGCGCTGCCTCGGTGTTGATACACATGATGTTAGTGCTGTCGGCATTTGTTGCATAACCAGTGTCTATCTTTCTGTCATCATCTGCTGAGTGTGATGTGAAAGAAAACAACAACTTAAAACAGACTTCTACTATGATCTTGAATACTTGCTGGTCTAAGACATACCAGATCCCTCAAACTCTGGATTTGAAAGTAGATCTGTACTAATTTTCTCATCTGTTATTTCTGAGTTTCTTGAAGTTGTGCAATATATACAAATGAAATATATGTGACCTTAAAGTTACAGGAGCACTTTGTTTTCACTGATTTTTTTCATCTGTTTTTTTTTCCAGGTTAAATATACCTAAAAGTACTTTAATTCCAATGACAAAACGGGACCAAATGAAACTTGACAGTATCCTGAAGAGACCTTATGTTACTTGCCAACCATTCTGGAGAAAAGAAGTATGTTCCTTTTATAAATTCAAGTGTTAATATGTTTTGTTGTCTTTTACTTCAGTAGTGGCTATTTACATAGTATTTTGAAAATATCCTTTTTGAGATTTTGTGTAACCAACAACAAACGTGGCTCTTTGGCTGTAAATGGTCACTGAAACACTGAATTATGAATGCTGATAGATAAGATCAGTGGGATGGAGCTGATTTAGTTTCATCTTCATCATAGTTATATGCCTATTGTCTAAGGCTGTGTCATAGTTCATGGGGTGAAAAGAGAAGGAAACTATAAAGTCCCTAGACCATTCCTAATTACTGAAGCCATCCATACTGATATTTTTAGCTGTAGCAGCTCTAGAATATTCTGACAGAACTCCAGCAGAGGACTCTGGTATGATTATATTTTACTTTCACTGACAGATGGAAATAATGGGAGACTCTAAAATGAAGGCAGAAATTCAAGCTTTGACCTTCCTATCATCAGATTATCTTTCCAGAGTGTACTTACCTAACAAACTAAAATTTGGAGGATGGATATAAAAATATATCAGAATATAGCTTGTGATTGCAAGATGCTTTTCATTACTTTTGTTTTCAGTAGTAGATACTTATGTGAAAAGAACATATATTCTTAGTTTTATAGAGGTCAAATAAAATAATTTTCCATCAATTGTACTTTTTGTCAAAAAAATGCTGGTCTCTAATTTTCTCTACAAGGCTTTATTTTATCTTTCTCTGTAGGGACTGATTTCTATCCTATGTTCTAAAAAGTAAACTGTGAAAGAATGTATGTTATTTTGACTTTAAATTTTATTTGAAAAAATATTTTACACATATCATCAAAGTCTACAGAAATATTTTATTTACTTTTTACAATATAACTAATGTTAAGGCATGAAGTATATTACTAGTAACAAAAATAATAACCCAAATTTGAGAGGTTGCAAATGTCCAGCAGTTTCTTCTTACATTTTCCTTTGCCTTCATTGTGTAGGGGTCATACCTCATTCATTCACTTGTGAAATTAGTAATGTTTATTGAGAATAAACATTTGCATTGATATAGTCTTCAGTGCTTGGTTTATTTTTTATTTTGAGCATGCTTTTTTATTAATAATATATTTATTTGAAAATTTTCCCCAGGGTTTTATCAGGTCTCACTGAAATTCAAGTCACCTGAATTCTTCTTTATTCTAGGTTTATAGAGCAAAGAACTTGTTCAATTTTAAGATTTATAGAAGCCTCAAATTTTAATAAGGCCCTTCTATAATAATAAAGATGTGATCTTTTCCCCTCATAAACCTATCTTTTCCAGAGATGAGTTTTATAATTTTATTCTGTACTTTCAAACTTTTAACTGCACTGAAAAGTTTCTTGTAATTATAAGCAAAAATGTGTATTTATAGGAGAAATTAAGAAATGTTGAATTAGTTATTTTATCAAGATAAATGTTAACAATAATAGTAGATATCATTTCTGAGAACTTAAATGTGCCAGTCACTGCTTACACATTTAATTTAACTCTCCCAAGAGCCTTGTCAGGTGAGTAATTACACTTATAATTTGCAAGTGAGAACGCTGAGGATGTTGCTTGTCCAAAGCCACACAGCCAGACGTGGCAGAATGGGGACAATAACAACATTTACCTCAAGAGCAGGACCAGGTACCAAGTGTCTGGGGCCCGGTGCAAAATGTAAGTGTAGGGCGCCTTGTTCAGAGTTATTAAGAATTTCAAGATGACAGCAGAAGAGAATTAAACTAAGCATGGGGCCCTTCTTAGCATAGGACCCTGTGTGACACACAGGAGGCACACCCATGAAGGAGGCCCTACTCAAGAAGTAAATAAGGTCACATATAATAATAAAAGAAAATACTTGCATAGCACTTACTGTGTGCCAGGTATTTTTCTAGGTGCTTTACAAGCATTAACTAATTTCATTTTCACAGAAACCCTATGAACTAGGTATCTTTCTTATCATCCTCATTTTACAGACAAGGCAACAAAGACGTGGAGAGGCTAAGTAACTTTCCCAAGGTCATATAACTATCAAGCAGTGGAGGTGGGACCTAATCCCAGAGAATCTGGCTCTAAAGTTCACGCTTTAACCATGATACTGGTACATGCAAATTGTTTCACGAGTGGCAGGGCGTGCACACAGTTCAGGAAAGGTCTACAATTCTTTTTGTTGGCTAGGTGTCAAATCAAGGCTCCCTGAAGTCAAGCCTGTTATGTTATATTCCCACATCAGAACCAAATATTTCATTTGGAGAGTATTTTGGTATACTGTTAATTTGACTTGTGAGACTACTGAAAATTCTGAAAAATTTTTATGAATTGCAGGTTTTTCTTTGAATTTATACTATACTTCCTCCCTTAACATTTAATAATCATTGACCTTTAACAAGTTTTGTAAAGAAGAAAAACTACTAACTTAAAAATATGTAGTTAAGCCACAAAATATCTGGATTAGGTTATACTGCCAAAATAAGAAGAAATAAAAAAATCTACAATAGCCGTTAAAATTTGAAAGTAAATTTGAAAGAGTTTGCAGATACATTCAGTTTGGATAATTAAATTCATTTCAAGTTTATGATTTAAAATTTACTTTAAAAAATTTTCATCTATTTGAGAAATGAAAATGAGAGGTGAGCAAAATACATTGTAGTTTGACTTTGCTCCCTATCTTTATTAGATGCAGATGGAAAATGAATGTTAGTAGCTATTTGGGACCCATCTAGAATTCTAATTCTTAAGATTTGTTTCTAAAAGGGATTCCTGTAAAATAGGCAGTGATTTAAAATGGCAACTGACAACAGACATCCCCTCGACCATCTGCATTTATTTTGAATATTTCCATAATTTTAATCAAGCAAGAACACTTGGATTGGAATCTGTTTATAATTAAAGTAAATAAAAACTGGTGCAAAAAGATGTTCAGAGAATCTTGGTTTTTCCTTAAGGGCTCATAATCACTCTTGTAAAATAAAAGCTCTTGTAATATTCCCAGTTTCTGGGAAATTTAACTGTCATCATTGATGATCCTAATTGATCTCAGAAGTCATAATTCATGGGAAAAAAAACTCTCCCATTTTGCACTTCCTACAAAATAGGCAAAAAACACCCTGGGATTTCCATCTGTGACTTCCCTTAATGAGTTTCTCAGTTGAGCTGTTTGATGTAGACACCTGTTCAGTGGTGCTGAAAAGAACCAGTGCAGTTGAAACTAAGCCACATGTACCTGTGTACTAAAAATATTTTCAATGGGGTGTTTTTGTAGTAAAATATTGAGAAATATTACTTCTGTTTGGACTTCTGTTCACCATTAAAGGTATTCCAAGAAAACACTGTAATAAAAACTAGCCAAGGTCTCCCTCTGCTGGTAGAAGCTCTACTGTTCTCTCAAATCCTTTAAAATATTTTCAAATCCTTGTTTTCAAGAATGGGTTGGAAGAGTCTGAGACACAACAGGAGGTTAGAGAAAACCGCCAGGTAAGACTGAGTGCTTTTAGACAGGGACCTATCTTGTATCATCGGCTTTGGATGGCCCTAATTCCTTGTAAAGCTACACTTAATGTGTGCTTCATTGCAACCAAGCTACTTATAAAATTCAAGACAAGGTAGGAGATGATCCACTTGGCACAGAATGAGGAAAAGATGTTGCGGAGTACTTATCAAAGATGATTGCAAGGTTTTGCTGGTAGAAGAGTTAGGTACAGGGCAGACTTCATTGGCTCTATTGCTTAACAGCTGTGTGATGTCTGACAAGTCACCTTACCTTTCTCAGCCTCACTTTCCTTTTCTATAAAATGGAGATTAGGATACCTACCATATAGAGCTGCTCTGGAAATTACAGGGGATTGAGCATCCTTTGTGTAAAAGAGCTAATATTATTATTATTATCATTTTTTAAACTAGAGATTCTGAACCTTGGCTGCATCTTAGAATCACCTGGAGAGCTTTCAAAAAAATACTAATTCCCGCAATACTACCCGAGACCAACTAAATCAGAATCTCTGAGGGTGAGGTCCAAGCAGTTGAGTTTTTAAAAAGATTCCCCAAGTGATTCTAAATACCTCGTCTAGATCCTTGGTGCTGCACTGCGTGGCCTAACGACCTCAGCTGGGAGTTTGCTAGAAATGTGGTTTCTTGGGCCCACACTGCACCTTCTGAATCTTAATTTTATAACCAAGTCCCGCGGATCCTTACGCTCCCTGCAAATACCAAGGCTTTTAGTTAGCAGCCTACACCGAGTAGTAAGGGAGAAGGTTCAGTGTTTGTACCACGACCTCAAGAGATCCCTCCCTCTTTTTATCCTTCAGATTGTCCTAAAGGGGGAAAAACAACCAGCTGAAATATTCGGAGTTGGCACGGGTCGTCATAACAGTCCCTTAACATTCCTATGGAACCTTACACTTAGCAAAAGTCCTTCACGTGTGTTTCTTCACTTGAAACTAAGACTAGCCCCGGAACGTAGGCATCATGATCCCCATTTTACAGCTGGAAACTGAGGTCCAAAGAGCCCAGATGGCTCAGGATACCTCAGTCGCAAATAGGGAGGCCAGGGCAGGAACCCAGGCAGCGTCCCATCAGCCTTGCACTGAAGCGGCAGCAGTGAGAATTTTGCTAGACTTGTAATTCACAAGAGAAAATTCTAACTACCCTTCAGCTGTCGCGTCCATGGATTTATCAAAGCGGTCGCTGGGCAACTGCGTCAGCGACACCAACTTTCTGCCAATCCGCAAGCCGCTGGCACAAGGCCACCTTCTTGGCGTCAATAGCGCTGCTGCGCATGTGCCATCACCCCGAGGGAGGAGGAGCCTTTTCCTTCCCTCCTTGCCTTCCGGGTGATACAGGAAGTAGCTCCGGGACGCATGCGCACTATCTCCGCGGTAATTAGGGCAGTTCCTCGGCCGGCGTGAGTAGACTTGGGGCTCTTGGAATTCCTGTTCCCACTACCTCGCCTTCGCCTCCTCCGCGCTCGAGCGGAATCGCAGGCTCCCGAGCTCCTCGTGCTCTCCGTCGCCGGCTTCCCTCTGCAGCACGACTCGCAGGTAGGCCCCGTGCCGCTTCCCCTCGTTAACCGCCGCCATGGCGCCGCCGAGACCGGGGCCCCCGGGCAGAGTGAGCCCCGCCGCGAGGTGCTGGGTCGCGAGCCCGACTGTTGGCGAGCTTCATTAGTGATCTCTGGGAGGGACGTCAGAGCTGGAAGGGGCCTTATGAATCGCTTCAGGTCTAACCCCCTCGTTTTCCTTGTGGGGAAACTAAGGCACCGGGGAGGGTCACAGAGTTGATGGCAGCACCTGTCGCCTCCACTTTCCTCATTACACATGTGGCTTCTCACCAGATACATGGCACCACCCCGGAGACCTTCCCTGGCGTCTTCCGGAGAAGGGCATCTGCTTTTAGACCCTCCCACGTCAACCCGCTTAACCTCCTTTGTTGCACTTATCACTCCCTAAAAAAATTCTGTTTCTTTGCTTCTGTCTTCCTTTGCCAAGTCTTTCTTTCATACGAATGCACACACACTCCGCCCATCCAAGTATCTGTGAAATACCAGCCGCCGTGGGCCAGTATATTAGGAAGAATCTAGCCAGCTCTCTGCCGTTTTGGAGCCGGCATTTCCCCCGGAGAAGAGATTGATTGCAAACAAATTGATGGTGGCCGGTGCTGTGGAGAAAACGGGGATGTGATGGTTGGATATGTTCCGTTAGGAAGGCAGGGAAGCCTCTGAGGAGGTGACTTTCTTAAGAAAGAGGCTTCTAACAGCTTTATTGAAGTGTCACTTAAAGTGTACCTTTTGATGAGTTTGGGAACTTTAATCCAGTCGTGTACACATCACCACAGTGCAGTTTTTGACCATGTCCATCACCCCAAAAAGTTGTCAGGAGGCAACTTCTGAACTGGGACCTGAAGATTCAAACGGAGACAGCTGGGAGTTTGGGGGAAGGTGAATCATCCCAGCTGAGGGAACAGCTAGTTGAACTGTTCCAAGGCAGGGAGGAGCTTGCAGTGTTCACAGGCAGAGGAAGCCATCAGAGCTAGTGTGGCCAGGAGGGAGAGAGCAGGAAGAGATTAGGTAGGTTGGAGGTGAACACGTCTTCTGAACTTCTTAAGGGTTCCCAGTGCCCTGCACAGTATGTGGCGCATGGGTGATTAACGCTTGATGGCCTTTGTTCTTTTCCCTAAGTTTATCCCTAATGGCAGAAATGCTCTCTCCCAACTTAATGGTTGAAGAGAAGGAAGAAACAGAAGTTTTTCAGTTACTGTGTCTACAACAGCACTTGGTTTTCGTAACCCTGTGAAGTGTATATTAGTGTCTATTTTTACAGATGAAAAAATGAAGGCTCAATAATTTGCCCAAAGCCATATATTTAGTTCCTGGACTCCAGTGCAGAAGCCTTGTCATTTCTTTGTTTCCTCGTGCTGTTAACTCGTGTTTCAAATACGTCTCTAGCATTTGAGGCAGAGGTACTCAGTAAGCACCACGTCCTCTCAGAGTCATTTCTGAGATATTAATGCACTTGTAGAACTAGTATGTCTGCACTTGGTTGTTTTTCTTGAAGCTCAGGAAACTCAGATACCTTCCGCAAATTCCTCGTAGTTTTCCCAGTCTCTGTTGTCTTTAAGAGATGCTGCTCTTGTTATCTCACGTGTCACTCAGCTGTGAGGCTCCTTTGGGAGAGAGGTTACTGACATGGTAGACTTCTGGGTGTAAAAATTTGCTAACCAACGACAGAATTGAAAATGTGGCATCAATGTGTGTGAGTCATCAGAGAGTTATAAAGCGTAGACTTTCTTCTTGGAAGGAAAAGGGGGAAAGTTTTTGACCCACTATGCACTAGACACTGCACTTTATACGGAGATAACCTGATTTGATCCTCAGAGCAACCTTGGAGAAAGTGTTAGTGTTCTCTGTTTGCAGAATAGGGAAAATGAGGCCGAGTGAGATTAGAGTCTGAGCTCTGCTGAGTGGCAGAGGCATGGTTCTAACCCCTGTGGGCCTACGAGACTGGTGCCCAGGAAGAAACTCCAAGTGGGGGGACTCTTGCTGGGCAGATGCCCATAACATAATGCCAGGCCTTTTGGCACTCAAGCAGACCAAAGTGGATTACTGTTTTAAAATTCCTCCTACAGTAGCTGCCAGGACTGGTTGCTTTTCTAAGTAACTTCATGCCGAGATACTGACCTAAACTGGAGTGCGGAAATTAGAAAGAAAGTGATCTGTCACTGAGTGGGAACCTGGAATGGGGCCTTCTGCTGGTTTACTTTTATATTCCTGGGGCTCAGCACAGTGTCTCTAACTATGTAAAAATATGAGGGAATTTATTTTCTAGCTGGTGACTGAAAAATACTCTGCTGTAATGTATCAATATTGGTTAATTAATGGTGGTACATCTAAGAAGGAAACTGGATGTGGGGTGTATGGGAACTCTACTATCTTTACAATTTTCCATAAAAAAACTAAACTAGAAAGTTTGTTTTTTAAAAGCACTGTGCTTAAAACATAGAGTTCTTTAGAAATCAGAAGCCTGACATCATTTATTTACTCTTTATTTCCCTTCTGTTACTTAATTATCTTTATATTGCCTCTCAGTGATGTTTATTTCTTAAGAAAGGACCTGTCTCCTTTCCCATTATTTTTTAGGGCCAAAATGAGTCTGTTTGGAACAACCTCGGGTTTTGGAACTGGTGGGTCCAGCATGTTTGGCAGCACAACCACAGATAATCACAATCCTATGAAGGTACCACGTAGAGCTTCACGGGGTTTGTAGAAACAGTGAAGGCCGGGGTTTGCTACATCGGTGACAGCGGGAGAAACCCAGAGGGCTTGGGAGCCTCCTTTGGGGCGAAAACTCTGAAACTCTGTCTAGCCTGCTTTCTCAAATATTGCAGCATAGAAACCATGTGTCCCCTGGACTAGCGCCAGAATCACCGAGGTGCTTGTTAAAATTGCAGATTCCCAGGGCACAGCCCACAGCGGTTGAATCAGAATTTCTGTGGGGAAGGGAGGCAGGTGATAACTGTGATCGAGCCCTTCTGGGCGGGAGTGAGCAGGTGGGCCTTTCTTTGAGAGTGCTGCGTGTAGTCCCAGCAGTGCCGGACTTGTGCTGGCTTGTTTACACTTACTGTTTTCAGTTTTATCAGAGTACGGAAGGTCTAATTCAGTCAGTTCTTGAGCACAAGGGAAGTCCACCATGGGATGTTTAGTGAGAAAGAAAGCAGTTCTGAGTTAACTTGTGATGATGCACACGTCTTAACATTGACTTTTTCCACCCCAGGATATTGAAGTAACGTCCTCTCCTGATGATAGCATTGGTTGTCTATCTTTTAGCCCCCCCACCTTGCCGGGGAACTTTCTTATTGCAGGATCGTGGGCTAACGATGTAAGTGCTCCTTGAACACACGCTCTCTCTGTCATATCTCTTTGTGTGGATAAGCTTAGCTTTTTTTTTCCCCCTCCAAGTGAACGAAGCAGAGTTAAGGCTTATTCGTGGTCTTTTTTAAGAAACGAGTTTAGAGTGTGAACCCTTCTGAATGGCTTGTTGCACTAATTTTTGTTGAGAAAGCAGGATCATATGCATCATTAAAAAATTTCTACTCTATAGTTCAGTATCTTGACATGTATTCCCAAATGAAATGTGGTATTCATTGAAATAAATGTCCATGATGGTATACATAAATTTCCCTTCTAGAGAACATCCTGAAAATGTTCTTTAGGCATATGTTAAAGTGTTGTTTGCCTTTAGATACAGCATAAATCTTGCATAGACACTATACTTACCAAAAACAAAAAAATCATAGTGTACAAAAAGGAAGAAAAACTATGGTAGAAAAATAGGCAGAGGATTTTGAGAGGCACTTGACAGAAGAAGTGCAAGGGGCCTGTTAGAGTAAACTTGAACGATTAACCACTCTCATAATCATAGAAACGCATTGTGGCTTTGCCACTCACATAGATAGGGGACCCGGGCCCATTATCTTACCTCTCTAAGCCTCATATCCTGCTTTGCGAGATGGAGATGACAGCAAATTCACAGAGCTTTGGCTGTTGTAGCAATTAATTGAGACAATGCATGTAAAGTACACCATAGGAGATCCTTCTCACATCCAGAAGGGAATGGTACAAACTTAAGGGTTTCTGATGAATATTCTCCAGAAGAGCTGTACCAGTTTACACACCGACCGGTAGTACAAGTTTCAGCTTATCCTTGCTGGCACCAAGTATTACTCATTTTATTTTTATTAATTTGATAGGGGAAAAGTGTCTAGTATGTAAATTTGCATTTATCAGATTATGGCTGGGAACATATGGGTTAAATGCATGTAATAAATCATTAATTGCTGTGTTTGCATTAATTTGTTTCATTACTGTAGGTTCGCTGCTGGGAAGTTCAGGATAGTGGGCAGACCATTCCAAAAGCCCAGCAGATGCACACTGGGCCTGTGCTGGATGTCTGCTGGAGTGATGTGAGTTTCAGCCAATTGTCCATGTTGTCCTAGAAAGTACAGTGTAACTTGGGATATATATGCGTTTGTATATAACCTGAGACAAATAGCATGTATGTACACAAATTGTAGAAGTGCTATTTCTGACTGAAATAGTTATTTATTGATTTTCATAACTTGATTAACTTGAGTCATGTCAGAATTACTCTATAAAAGCTTTTCTTGCATAAAAAGTCCATAAATTTATTGACATGTTTCCTTCAGCAGGGGATTAGATAATTTTTTAAAGCCTTTCCTACCTCTCAGTGTGCTGTGATCTTATGTCTCAGAGATGAGGTAACCTGGCAAAATCAAGAAATGGAGGAGCTAGAGCTGAAACTTGACCGCAAGCCTGGAGTGGAGATGATGCACATACAACTATACGCATGTGATTTACTTTCCTTTTAAGATTTAGCTCAGTTCTTACCTCTTCTGTGAAGCATTCACAACACCGTTCCCAAACTTCATAGCTGCTTTCTGGGTTCTCTCCACCCAACGCAGTACCTGCTGCAGGTCTCAGGACTTAGCTCACTGAGTTATACCTCTTCATTGCCATGTTTTGATTCCTCCACTAGACGGTGTACAGCTCGGAGAAACGAAACAGGCTGTATCTGTTTCTGTAAATACCAGTTCACTCAACCTCAGGGCAGCTCACTTCGTGCATTAGCATCTTTTCAAGGATCTGTGGAGTTCCTTATAACTTAATAGAGAAGAAGGTTTTATCTCTTCTTTCAGATGGAGAACTGGTGTCTTCAACGAGAAGAAGTTTTTGCTAAGGGAAGACAGTGGTAAATCTTGCACTCTGGAACCAGAGATGAAGTTGTCTAGGCCAGGGGTCAGCAAACTGTGACTCATGTGCCAAATCTGGCCCGTTGCCTATTTTTATAAATAAAGTTTTCTTGAAACACAGCCAGTCATTTATTTACATGTGTTTGGCTGCTTTCAGGCTACAACAGGAGAGTTAAGGAGTTGAAACGGTGACCTTTTGACCTACAAAGACTAAAAGATACACTGTATGGCCCTTTAAGGAAAAAAATATGTTGATGACTGGTCCAGGTTTTCAGCTCAGTCCATTTTCTTTTTAAATTATCTTGCACTTCCTATTTGACTGAACTACTTTATGAGTTCTATATGTGAATATTCTAAAAACCATTACACAGTGACTGCCAATTTTTAAGCTATATTGTAATTTAATTTCACTAATGATTATTGCAAATTAATGTAGTTTTATTGTATATGCTTTAGAATGCTATGAAATATTGAGCTGAACAAAAGCAATAATTATACAAATATGTGTATAGAGCAGGTGGAGTTGCAGGGGAGTAAGAGGTACAGTAAATGTGGAAAGATGTTTGCAGTTGGTGAATCTAGGTGATTGGTTTGTGAGCTATTCATTGTATTTTTGCAACTTTTGTGAAGGCTTGAAATTGATGAAAATAAGAAAATAATTTTTAAAGCGGCTCCTGGTAGGTATTACACAGGTATATCATACACAAAGGCTGTTTCTGGAGGACATGCGAGTGGCCATGGCTGCCTCTGAGATGTGAGCTGGGGTCAGGGACAGGAGAAAGGCTTAGTTTTCACCATATAACTCATAATGCTGTTTACATTTTTTTTAAACCTGTTTACATATTATCTCTTAGAAAAATTAACTAATAATTAAAAATTGAGCTGAAAATATGTTTTGTAGATAACATTATAGTTTGCAATACACTGGCCCCCACATAACTGGAAAAATAAAAATTGCAAAATAAAACCTGCCTCAGTGTTTCAGCCTGATAGCTAAATGTACATATAGAGATTTTGTTTTTCTTAGAATGCCAGATTTCTTCCATTTTATTTTAGGACGGGAGCAAAGTATTTACAGCATCATGTGATAAAACTGCCAAAATGTGGGACCTCAACAGTAACCAAGCGATACAGATTGCACAGGTAATGAAAACTCACCCTCTGCAAAACGGCTGGGCAAGGCTGGTGCCCCGGGTTATTACAATTCTTTAATTATAACAATTCTCTCTTATAGGAAAAATGGAGTTTGACTATGCCAAATCAGTTAGACTTAAATATACTGGCACACAAAGAAACACCAATTGTGTAACCATTCTCATTCTTACTAGTATTTCACAAATTGTTCTGTCATGGGCCTTCCACATACGTGTAGATGAGAATGACATCATAAGGAGCTAGTGATATTAAAATCTATAAAAGAGAATGTCACAGCTGCTGGTCCTCAACATCCCCGTCTTTGACATTCCAGCACCCATGTGCGGCTTGCCTTGTACTACCCGCATTTGGTCCCTCATTCACTTGACAAGTATGTATCCGAATGCCCACGATACACCAGGCACTGTCCTTAGGAGTAGAGATACAGGGGTAAGCAAGAGGGGCACTTCCACGTGCCATGGAGCTTTTGCAGTCTGCTCGAGGACAGCAGGCAGGTTCTTGTATGAAGACTGCTCGGAAAAGCAGAAGGTGAGAGAACCTAGAACCAGAGGGTCTAACCTGGTGATGGGGAGCCTCTTGACCCTGAAACATTTTCAGGAAGGTGTTGCATACTCTGAGGTCACAGTACTCTGTGCCAGAAGCATCTCGTTGACCTCTTAATTCATGTCATCTAAGTAGATAACAACTGTGATGTCGTTCCTTACCAGTTATTCTGAGTATCTACCCCCAAGGAAGGGCTTGCACTCCCCCTCACATACTAGTTAGTTATGGTTCAAATCAAATCTGATTTTGTTAGCATGGAAGGTAGATACAGGCCCTTAACGTTACATTGAATGTTTTGGTTTGTGTTTGGTATGAACTCAATGTTTAAATGAGTTCCTTCTCTTTGAATTTCCAGAACCGAAGCTATGTAGCATATTATTACGTTTTCTTTGATCTGTTTTTGGTTTTGTCTTATTGAAAGCACGATGCTCCTGTGAAAACCATACATTGGATCAAAGCACCAAACTACAGCTGTGTGATGACCGGGAGCTGGGATAAGACTCTGAAGGTATGGCACACTGTTAAGGGACTGCATGGCCTGACGAAGATTGATGTTTATTCTTACACTGTTTGGACTTTAGCTCTGAATGGTCAATTACTGGCTTTTTTTTTTTCCTTTTAGTTTTGGGATACACGATCGTCAAATCCTATGATGGTTTTGCAACTCCCTGAAAGGTGTTACTGTGCTGATGTGGTAAGGAATTTCTAACAATATGTATTTCCTTAAAAAAAAAAAAAAGATACTACTTAACTTACTATGTCTTGCAGTTAGACAGTAACCCAGAAATCTCTCAAACTAGACGTGGGGTGTAGTTTGGACTGCCTCAGTCATCTTAAGTCTGGAGGGTTTCATGCTGCATTTGTTCTAGAATTACTAAAAACTGGGTGTGCCTTTTTTAGTCACTTGTTACGTGAACATTCGCAGATAGCTGCATGCCGTGTTGTCACCAGTGTGACATAACACTTTGTGGCAGTAGGAAAACTGGCAATAACTTTGTGATGTGGTGCGAAATCTTTGGTGACTCTGAATGGGATAGAAGCTGAAGAACTTTCTCCATTGG